CTGAGTGGTGCCTGGGACTCCTCAGACTGGAGAACAGCCCAAATTCTACTCGTGAGCCCATATCAGCACTGCTCCCCAAGGAATCCGTCAGGAAGTGGGGTAAGGGTCTCCAAGGAGCCCCCAGCTAAGAAGCCAAGCTCAGAGAGGAGGTCTCTGGCCCAGCCCAGCGGGTGAGGACCAGGCCGCAGGGGGAACGCCCTGAGTGGACGAAGGCAGCTCAGAGCGCAGGACCAGGCCAGGACCAGGGCTCACCCAGGGGTCCAGGTCAGGGTCACTCACAGCTGATGCCCATGAACCACTGGCCCTGGAACGGGGGCTCTGAGGAAGTCTGGCTGAGGGCAGGAGGGGACGAGACCCCCAGACCACCCCAGGCTGAAGGCAGGACCAGGTCTGGGCGGGGCAGGGGTGAAAGGCTTGGCCAGGATGAACGTGGTCCCCCAGCTGCTGGCCTGTGTCCCGGCCCCACCCGGGTCAAGGAGACACACCCAGCAGCCAGGCCAGCGGGGCTCAGGGTGGGTGGGGTGTCACTGGCCGGACGGTAGGAGGAAGCTGTTGGAAAGTCAGACGGAGTGGCTGTGAGGAAGGCCGGGCAGGGCCGGGCCCAGATGGTTCCTGTTGGGGAAGCAGGGGCGCAGCTGCAGGCCCGCTTCCCGGCCAGCCCCTATCACAGCGACACAGCTGGCTGCCCCGCAGGCCGCTGCAGACCTTCCCCAGTGGCGCCTCCCCCAGCCCGCCCCCCATCACATCACATGAGCCCCTGCGGCCGCCCGCCCCTTCCCCAGGCTGGCGGGCAGGCTGCTCGGAGGTCCAGGGGGCTGTCGGGGTGACAGAGGCCTCTGGCTACGAGAAACCCCGGGCTGGCAGAGGCCCCTCCTCTCTCCCTTTCTGCCCCACGAGGTCGAGATTGGGAAAGGCACTCAGGGCCGCCCACCCCACAGCAGCATCAGGACTGGTCCCCCTGCTGCACCTCTACCTCCATGTCCCAGGCATCTCCCGTGCTGGAGAGCGGGCTCCCGGCGTCCGCCAGCTGCTCAGCGCCCCGAGGTCCCAGGAAGGGCGGCCCAGGTAAGGGGATGGGGGCAGGGGGAGCAGGCGGCCAGACTGTGACGTCTTTGTGCAACTGCCTGCCCGGCTCTGATGACTCACCTCAAACATCGACTCGTCCTCCGACAGGACACCGTCCGCACAGCTGGGGCAGGTGGCAGGGGGTGGACCCGGCAGGTGCCAGGGCCAGCTGCGGGCCCCACCCAGAGCAAGTGCTGGAGGCGGGGGCTGCCCGGGGCCATCTAAGAGGGGTGGGCTCTGATCTCAGGGAGCAGGGTCCCACGAGTCGGCCAGGGAGAGGGTGTGCAGCCGGATGTGGGATCCTTGAGACTTGCAGGTTGGATGAGGAAACTGAGGCCAGAAGGAGAGGGCCTGGTCCAGGGCCCTGGGAGTCAGTGACGATGGTCCAGGACCCCACCCTGCCCCAGCCCCCACCAAGAAGCGGCCATCCCTGCCAGGGCCCCCACCCTCTGGAGCCAGGGCCAGGGAGATGCGGTCACACAGGGAGGGCCTCCCGTGGGCTGATGACTCTGGAGTGCAGGTGGCTGCCGCCCTCCCTGACACCCCCGACCCCAGCTGCAAGGTCACCTGCCTGGCTCTCCCAGGACTCAAGGGGCCAGCATAGCTACAGGCAGGTGGCCCGGCTCCCCAGCCCATGGCCACGTGGCCCCAGGCCGGGAACACACAGTCCCAGTCTCACTGGGACAGTCACGTCCAGGGTGCAAGCGTGCCCATCACCCCAACCCCAGACAGCTCTGCCTTGTCTGCAGAGGGACTTCCTCTCCTGAGCAGGTCCCCACCTGCCCCGTCCAGGGACCCGTGGGCCAGCCCCCTACGCGGGCTCCGTCAGGCACCTCAGCACGTCCAAGACTAGAAGGCCAGCTTTCCACACCAAAGCAAACATGCTGTTGCCTTTGGCTTCTCCCAAGTGTGGGTGATTCAAAAATGTCTTCAGGGAGGGGCCAGTCACGGGCCCTGGGACGTGGTCATCCTGCCTTCGGGCTAGCCAGTGGCTCTGGTCCTGTCCACCTCCAGCTGGGCACTACACAGCCGCCCCCTCCTTTCCTGGGGTAGCCCCCTCACCCTACTGTCCTGGAATCGGCAGCCCGGTTCTGTCGCTTGCTGCTGTGACCTGGGGCCAGCCCCTCCTCATCTGGGCCTCAGTTTCCCCGGGTGTCAAGCTCTGTCCTTCTGCTCCCTGAAGGGGTCAAGGAGCAGCTCTCAAAAGCCGGGGAGGGAGTGGGGAGGCAGGTGGGGGTGCGTGAGAGCTGCCAGATGCTGTTGTGTGTGGACGGCGAGTGTCAGCCATGGAAGGC